CAGAATTGCTGAGTGTGTTTGAAGAACTGTCAGACTGTTTTCCAAAGCAGCTGCATCATTTTCCATTCCTGCATCATTTACAGTACTGTAAAAAGGTTCTGGTTTCTTCCCGTCCTCACCAATAGTCTTTTTGATAATAACCATTCTAGTGAGTGTAAAGTGGCATCTCTTTGTGGCTTTGATTTGCATTTCCCTAATGAGTAATAATATTGAGCATTTTTTCATGTGCTTGTTGGCCATCTGTATATTTTATCTGGAGAAATGTCTGTTCAGTTTCTTTGTCCATTTTTTTTTAATTGGGTTGTTTTTATTGTTGAGCTGTAAGAATGCTATATAATTTCTGGCTACAAGTCCCTTATCAGATATCTTTACAAAAAATATTCTCCTGTTCTGTGGGTTGTTTTTCACTTTCTTGATGGTATCCTTTGAAGCACAAAGTCTTTTTTTAAACTATGGGTTCCCCTTTCATCTCCCTCGTTTTTTTTACCCCCTTGCCATGTTTTTTGAAGGAAACAGTTTATCCTGTTAGGTTTCTTTGTGGGATTTTGCTGATGGAATCCTTTTGGTGTAGTTTGACATGTTTCTCAGTTTCTTGCGTAGCCTATAAATTGGCAATTAGAGTCTGTTGTGTCTTGCAGCTGAAAATATTGGAGTGGAGGCAGAGGTCAGATGGGTACAAGGCCAAATACATTAAGTGCAAATAACCAGGAAGTGGAATGGTTAGGTAATGCATGCTCAAGATAAATGGGCATCATGGGGCCAGGAACAACTAAGATGACTGTTAATAGGGGAGTGGACAAATATATGTGGTATGGTCACATGATGGAAAACCTCAAAGATGTTAAAAGGAATAAATTAGATTTATACACATCACTGTGGCTATATCTCAACATTAATGTTCTCTAAAAATAAGCAAGGTACAGAATTATATTTAAAATATATACCTTGATGCACATCAAAACATGCACATAAAACAATGTTTATGGATTCATGTATGTGTGTAGAAGTAAACAAATTGCTAGGAGGATGGATACCTGCCGGATGCGGGTGGTTGTTTCAGTGTGATAGTGTGATGATTTACTTGTTTCTCTTTAAAGAATCCAGTAGGTGGGAATACTTGATTATCAGCCTCTACTAGCTAAGGAATTCTGATTTTCAGATAATGCTTTTGCTCTTACTGGGGAAAATAGGACTTGTAGAGTCAAAAAGTCATTATGATTCTCAGGCACTGTCTTTGGTAAGACTTTATAGTTGAAGCTACTTGATGCTCATTTCCATCAATAATTACTCTGTCACGAATCCTTCTTAAGTTAGAAAGACCCTGAAACCCCCATTTCAAGGCCTGGGGAAAACCAGACCCAGAGAGGTCAAATAATGAGTGAAGCAGACAAGCTCTAAGGGCCTGAAACACCAGAGTTGGGGGCTTAGTGGGTAATTTACTGCTGTGTCTTGTCGGATGTTTAGGTTTTTTTTGGCAGCTTTTTTCTTATTCTTCTGGAATGTTGAAGGTCATGATTTTCTCTTTGGCATTGACTGCGTCATCTCCAGCAGTGGCTTGTATTTGGAGTAAAGGATCAGCTGATGGTGGAGGGGGAGATAAATTAGGAGTTTGGGAATAACATATACACTACTATATATAAAACAGGTAAACAACAAGGACCTACTGCATAGCACAGAGAAGTATATTCAATATCTTATAATAACCTATAATGGAAAAGAATCTGAAAAAGAATATATATATATATATATATGCCAAATCACTTTGCTGTACACCTGAAACACAACGCCATAAATTAATACTTCAATTTAGAAAATGGTTAAAAAAGAATCAGCTGAAATGAGTGAACGGAAAAAAGAATAGCTGTGGTCATTCAAAGCAGAAAAAGTGATGATATCACCAGTTTTTCCCCCCAATGAAGGCACTGGGCTGATCTGTTATGGCAGATTGTAAGAAGAAACTGTTCCACTGTCAGCAAACATTTGACTGCCCGCCTCTCTTGTGAGCCAGTGGCAGCGGACTCAGTCCCACTGATCTCCACTCTCCCACTTCCCGGTTGCATGGCTCTGCCTGGGTGACCAACAGGAAGTCAAATGCTCAGAGGTCTTAAATTTTGGAACTAAATTCTCTAAATTCTGGCAATGTGAACATAATCCCAAATAAAGCACCTCCCGTCCTGCTACCGTCTTGCCTGCACACAGGCCATGCATTCTCAACGGGGTGATATCACCCCTGTGGGGGAGAAACATCTATTCTTGTGTCTGAAGCACAGATATGCATGATGTACGATATATCTGTGGTATTAAAATTTCATGGCGGGGGTGATTAAGGAAAAAATGTCTAAAAAGCATCCTGACGGAGAATGAGAAAAAGCTTGAGAAATGTTGACATAGGCTGAAGTAATTTTATCACTATCATGTAAATTCACATTTTGCTTTTACCCTTAACATTTCTGGATAAAACTTTATCATATTGCTACATGGTCTTCACATTGATCACTTTTATGGACTTCATAATCCATCAGTAATCCATCATTACACATATGGCATAACTTTTAAATTACTGACTTTACTTGTGGAAATTTATCCCCCCCCTTTTTTTCCTTTTTGTTCCTATTATACATAATGATGCAGTGAACATTTTTGTTCAAGGTAGTTTTTCTTCCTTTTGATGATGTATTTAGGATGATTTCTCTGAAGTAGTGTTAACATGAAAGTGTTGATGGTTCTTGATTGCTCTTTCCGCCAAAGCAATTGCACCTGTTTAAAACGCTCCCAGTGAGGGGCTTCCCTGGTGGCACAGTCGTTAAGAACCCGCCTGCCAATACAGGGGACACGGGTTTGATCCCTGGTCCGGGAAGATCCCACATGCCGCGGAGCAACTAAGCCCGTGCACCACAGCTACTGAGCCTGCATGCCACAGCTACTGAAGCCCGCGTGCCTAGAGCCCATGCTCCGCAACAAGAGAAGCCACTGCATTGAGAAGCCTGCGCACTGCGGTGAAGAGTAGCACCCCGCTTGCCGCAACTAGACAAAGCCCTCGCGAGCGAAGCAACGAAGACTCAACACAAAAAATGCTGCCAGTGAGAGTGAGGCACTGGTAGCAGCAGATCCCGGCCAGAAATTCAGGGTTCAACCTTCAGCAGTCATTTGTTGGATGACAGTTGGGCGCATCTTCTTAGCAGAGATCTGTACTGTCAGTGTTTGTTGAAGGGAATTGAACGAATGTACCCAAAATGTTAGAGTAATGGGTACGTTAACCAGGACTCTTCCTCCCACACACCCGGCTGTGCCACGCAGCTTGTGGGACCTTAGTTTCCCGACCAGGGATCAAACCCGGGCCCTAGCAGTGAAAGCACCGAGTCCTAACGACTGGATCGCCAGGGAATTCCCCAGGACTCTTTTTTCAATTGCATGTGGTGGAAGCTGATTCCAGCACAATAGGAGTTTAAAGCATCTTGTGCTGGAAAGGTCTAGGGATAGCCTGGCTTCAGCCTCAGCTGGTGCTTAGAGAGTCATCAGGACCACCTTTCTGTCCGGCTCGCAACTCTCAATACTTTCTGTTGGCTTCACCCTCAGGCAGCCTCCCCTCCATGGAGGCAAGACGGCCACTAGCAGCTCTTGGGTCACATCCTACAATGTAGCAACACCCAAGCGGGTAGGCCTTTTCCAGTGGCTCCGGCAGAAGTCCTGGGGCTGACTCATAGTGGTCTGGCTGGCCTCGCGGCCATCCTGGAACCAACCCATCACCGTGGCTCTGGCTGCCCATGCCTGGATCATATGCCCAGTCCAGAGCCCAAGGGTGGCATCTGTCCCACTTTTTGTCTGGATGGAGGATGAACTGAAGGGGGAGGGTGGCGTCTGTCTCACTTGTTGTCTGGGTGGAGGATGAACTGAAGCGGGAGGGTGGCGTCTGTCTCACTTGTTGTCTGGATGGAGGATGAACTGAAGGGGGAGGGAGGGCTCTTGTCATTTGGTGGGGAGGGTGGTCAAGGAAGACCTTGCAGGGAAGGTGATGTCTCAGCAGAGACCCGAGGGAGGCGAGGGTGACTCCTGAGCAGCTGGACAGGTGAGGATGCCTTTTGCTGAGGTGGGAAAGGCTGTGGGAGGAGCAGCCTGAGGCCTCCAGGGGGAGTGAGGACCCTTTCCCAGCCCTGACTTCTGCTCACCCATCCAGAAGCCCTCAGAGGCCTGTGCTCCCCAGCTTCCCACGAGGGGGGAGACTTGCCCACTGGCACCCCGTTTCTCCTTGCCTGTGACTGCATAGTTTGGAATCTGCTCTTTCCTCCTTCACCTTAAAAAAAAAAAAAAAAAAAGCAAAACCCCCAAGTGACATTAAAGACTATTGTGAAAACAATATACCTATAAATATACCTTTCTAACATATTAAATATTTAGATTTTTAGGTATTCCACTTCTGTCTATGTTCAAAGCATATGCATTTTACCTAATTGCATTGAGTCTACATTTGAATTAGTGTTTTCACTTATTATAGCATTTACCCATGTTCCTTCTCTTCACGATTATTTAAAAATGCTGCGTAACGTTCCACTAAATTGACATGCTGCAGTTATTTAACCTTTCTCCCATTGTAGGAAAAGAAAGTAAATTCCGTTTATGATGTTCTGGGATGGAGTTGGCAAGCGTTTTCTGTAAAGGGCCAGATAGTAAATATTTTCTGCTTTGTGGGCCACGTAGCCTCCATCCCAACTACTCATCCCTTTTGTATAAAAGCAGCACGGGCAATACGCAAGTGAAAGCATGTGGCTGTGTTCCAATAAAACTTTATTTAGAATACCTGCAGTTTGGGGGCTGTAGTTTGCTGACCCCTGTTCTAGAACACTGTGGGAAAAATCTGCCCCCCTGAAACCATGTTTAGGCAGGCATCATGTTGCAGTGGAAAAACACTTTGCCCTCAGGCAATCCTGGATTTAACTCCCATTTGAAGAACCTGAGCAAGCTGTTGAACTTCTCGGACTCTTAATTCCCTCATCAGAAAATGGAAGTGAAAGTGAGTGATGACTGTACAATGCCTTACTCAGCACCTGGAAGACAGAGAGACTGGTAAAGAAGATACTTATTACTTTTCTCGTAATCCCCACCCCCACACCCCGGCCCATTCCTCCTTAGCTTAGTTTTCTAGGAGTCAGGAAGGTGCTTTGATGTTCTTGTAGTTTTTGGTATTCCCTGCTCATTGATTTCCAGGACTCTGCACTGGTACTCATTACCAGTGGTGCATTCATGTATCCCTGGAGCTTTACGAGCATTGGGGAATTTCATTTTTTTAAAAAATTGATTTACAATGTTATGTTAGTTTCAGATGTACAGCAAAATTATTCTGTTATACATATATATGTATTTAAGATTCTTTTTCATCATAGGTTATTATAAGATATTGAATATAGTTCCCTGTGCTATACAGTGGGTCCTTGTTATCTACTTTATATGTAGTAGTGTATATCTGTTAATTCCAAACTTCTAATTTATCCCTCCCCCTCTTTCCCCTTTGGTAACCATAAGTTTGTTTCCTATGTCTGTGAGTCTGGTTCTGTTTTGTAAATAAGTTCATTTGTATAATTTTTTTTTTAGATTCCACATATAAGTGATAACATGATATTTGTCTTTCTCTGTCTGATTTATTTCACTTAGTATGATAATCTCTAAATTTATCCATGTTGCTGCAAATGCCAATATTTCATTCTTCTTTATGGCTGAGTTGTATTCCATTGTGTATATGTACCACATCTTCTTTATTCATTCATCTGTCGATAGACATTTAGGCTGCTTGCATGTCTTGGCTATTGTAAATAGTGCTACTGTGAACATAGGGGTGCATGTATCTTTTCGGATTAGAGTTTTCTCCAAATATGTGCCTAGGAGTGGGCTTGCTGGATCATATGGCAACTCCATTTTTAGATTTTTAGGGACCCTCCATACTGTTCTCCATAGTGGCTGTATCAATTTACATTCCCACTGACAGTGCAAGAGGGTTCCTTTTTCTTCACACCCTCTCCAGCATTTGTTATTTGTAGACTTTTTGATGATGGCCATTCTGACCGTTGTGTTTCCCCGGAGCTTTGCCAGCAATGAGGAATTTCAGTTTAAATGTTTCTTGGTGAACGTAGTAGTTATACAGTGGTAACCTGTGGTGGTTGATTTGGTAAGCTTATAATTTGCATTTCTCCAACCATGAGGGAAGATACACTTTCTCTTCAAAGTATTTGCACACTGCAGTTTTTCTTTTTATTTTTTGCAGCAAGGATTGGCAAACTGGGCTGGCCACCTGTTTTGTAAATAAAGCTTTATTGGAACCCAGCCACACCCATTCTTGCTGTTGTCTCTGGCTGCTTTTGCACTCTGATTGAGTAGCTGTGACAGGGACCATCTGGCTTGAAAAGCCAAAAATATTTACCATTTTGCTCTTTACAGAAAATATTTGCTGACCTCTGCTCTAGAGGGAATTCTTTGCCCATTTATGAGTCCACCGTTGACCCAGTCTTTGTTTTTAGGCATCACAAGTCCACTTGGATGGCCCGAGCCCATCTGCCTCCAAGCAGAGTCTGCCTCTTTCCATTATGTGGTGAAGGAAAGTCTGTCCTTTTGTCCTCCTCCAGCTGTGCCACTTTACCCCACAATGCTGGGACCCAGTGCCCTGACTTTGGGGGTGAATGATTGTCCATTTTATCTGTTCATGTGCTAATGCAGACAAAACTAGTGCTTCACTCATGCAATATGCATTGCATGCACGAGGGCATTCTGGTCCTCTCCATTTAAAGCAGCCGCTTGAGGGACTACAGAACTGAACCCCGGAGTCTTGATCCAACAGTTGTTGAGTTCCTTCTGTGAGGAGGGGAACCAGAAACACAAATCATCTGAGACAATGCTCCACATGCTTACAGGGCTCCATAAAAATGCCACGTTAATTGCAGTTTTGCAGGGTGCATTGAACAAATCATATAATATCATTGAATGTATCATGTGTTTGTTATATAATGTCAGTAAGTCATTTGTTGTGTTCCAGATGTTATGGCCCCTGTGTAGATAGTTAGGTGCAGGAGGAGATGGGAACAAAAGGGCCTTTGGCCAGAGCTGGGAACAGCCATTGTAGAAGGGGTGGCCCTCACAGAGGGCCTGGCCGCTCTCGTGAAGGAAGAGCTGTGCTGGACAGGGCAGCAGAGAAATGAACTGGAGGCTGGAGCGGCACGTGGGAGCAAGGCACAGCTTTTATTAAACTGGGGGGAGGTATTACGACATCCCCATATGCTGTAGGGATTGCATAGATGATAAGAAAGAATTGACGATGTGGGAAGAAGAGGGACCATTGCTGGAGTATGTCCTTGAGCAGGTGAGAGGAGATGGGGTTCAGAGCACAAGTAGAGGTTTAAGTTTTTTAACTTCTCGGAGCCTCAGTTTCATCATCTGTGAAATGGGACAATCAAACTTAAGTTAGGGCAGAATTTCCCAATTGTGGCACTATTGACATTCGGGCTGGATGATTGTCATGTGGGGCTGTCCTGTACACTGTAGTAGATGCCGGGAGCAGCCCCCTAGTTGTGCCAAAAATGTCCCTAGACATTGCCAAATGCCCTTTTTTTGCGGGGGGGGCATGAAATCCTGGTTGAGAATCGCTTCTTGCCACCACTTCTCTGTAGGGCCCCTTTTAAGTAAACCTCCTTGAAGTCTCCTTATTTGAGAGTGCCTGCTGTTTCCTGTTAGGAGCCTGACTGATGCAGCAGTTAAGGACTTACTAGCCTCAAACAGACACTCCCCTCGAGTGTTATCAGAAACATGAGAGAGAAGTGAGCTTGGCTTTTCTTCCCTGTGTTTCAGTGGGGGTCTGGGCACTATCTGAAGTCTTGTCCCACCCCTAGGGGACTCTGCTGTGGTGGCTTCTTTGGCTTAGAATGTGCTCTAATCTACCTGTTGCAGTCCTTTCCATAAAGTATTTTCTTATGGAGGTGAATTTCAGATAATGTGAAACCATGTATGCTTTTAATACAATTAGAACAATTAACAACTGTTAAGTTAGAAATTTAACAGTTATAAAAACAATTAACCATTTAAAAGTGAACAGTTCAGTGGCAATTTAGTACATTTGTAATGTGCCACCACCATGTCTATCTGGTTACAAAGCACTCTCACCAGCCCCAGAGGACACCCTGTACCTATTAAGTAGTAGTGTTCTATCTTTATGGCTTTACCTATTCTGTATTCTAGTTCTTCCTGTTTTTTTAAGCGCAGTTCAAGTTCCCGCTTTTTCAGTCAGGCTTCCCTGGCCCCCAGCAGGCCAGCAGTGTGCTGTGGAAGAGGTCAGGCAGATCAGGGTCTCGGCACTGCTTTGCTGCCTGACCTCGGGCAGAATTCCTGGCCTGCAGTGGGCACCCAAAGAACCTTACCATCTTTTTCTTTTCTCCATTATGCCAGCTGAGTGCACTGCAAGGATTGGCCTTTCAGCAGAGAAATGACTTTCCCTCTGCCACTGCATAGAGAGGCAGGGAAATACCGTTGTGTGTGTGTGTGCAGCCTTGCCCAAGTGACCTAACTCCCTCTGTGGATGGGCACCATGATTACCTTGACCTCCTGGGTTGTGACAGGGATTGGAGAAGGGAGTGCCTTGGGGGCATCTTGCTGGTTTTCCCCTCCCCACATGGCAGAGAAGCTTTTTCACCTTTATACTCCCCCAGGGCAGTGAACACAGAGGCCAGGATTGGATTGCTTTGCCTGTGCTCTGGAGAGAAGGAAGCCTGATGAAAGGACTTGTTAGAGCCAGAGGTATAGGACTGCCCACAGCAACAGCAATAATAGTTAATATGTATAAAGTGTTTGGTGTATACCAGGCACTGTTCTAGGTGCATGGTATCCATTCACTCATTAATAGCTGTAGGAGGGGACTTCCCTGGTGGTGCAGTGGTTAAGAATCCATCTGCCAATGCAGGGGACATGGGTTTGAACCCACATTGTGCGCCACAACTACTGAGCCTGCACTCTAGGGCCCACGAGCCACAACTACTGAATCCCATGTGCCGGGAGCCCATGCTCCGCAACAAGAGAAGCTGCCGCAATGAGAAGCCTGCGCGCCGCAACTAGAGAAAGCCCACGCACAGCAACAAATACCCAATGCAGCAAAAAAAAAAAAAAGCTGTAGGAGGTGCAGAGGGGTTAAGTAAACTTGTCCTTGGTCACATAGCTGATGATGTAGGATTCAAACCTGCCCTGTCCTACTCTGAATCCCAGCTCTCTCTCCCCAGGAGGTCACTGAAGGCTGGAGATTTGTGGGAAAAAATAGTGTAGGATCTTAAGGATTCTAAACATGAAAGACAACAGCGATGCACCTGAACCAGGTGACTGACTTTCAAACGCAGGTGATTTCTAAGTTAGAGCCTCAGGAGATCACTGCATTTCTCTGACAGGTTTGTGGACCCTGGGTGTATTCCCTGGGGTGCCTTTCTGTTTTCATTTTGATGGTGCTCTATTTTCATTTTGATGGAGCGTGTTCTGTGAATCACTTTGCTGTATACCTGAAACTAACACAATATTGTAAATCAACTATACTCCAATAAAAAAAAAAAAAAGAAGCCTATTCTGGCTCATCTGGTTGATAGTGTTGACTCAGGGCTATCCTTACAGAAGGAAGGAAGCAGAAAGGCTGGGATTTCATAGAGAAATCATTACTGAACTGGCAGTGGGGCTGTCACTGCAGGTTTGTTACAGGGGTTGAGGGTGAGCAGGATTTCACAGATGGCCGAGCCAGTGGACTTGAAATTGAATCCTTCCTTAAGCACTTCCATGGGTGAAGGTCTTTTCCTCTCAGCCCCAGTGCTCTGTTGAGTGGAGCCACCTTTCCTTCTTTGTCAAGGATTAGATGCCAGTCAGTTAATGGCTTAGCCCACAGTTGAGGCTCAGTAGGTGGGCACTGGCTCCCTACTCCTCTTGAGTGGTTGCAGCCATTGAGGCTGGAAGATTCTTCTTGCCCTGGGAGGGGTCCTGTATTCTCCTCTTGGTCCCTGGGAGAAGGTAGGAAAGAGCCCGCTAGCATCGATTGCTCTGCCTGCCTGTCTCCACAGACACCCCACACTCGCAGACTGCAGAGCTAGGAGGGTGTGATCTCATGCAGAAACCAGTGCCCCGAGAAGGGAAGTGACTGTCCGTGTCACGTGTCCAGCAAGCAGCCCGGCCGGGATGAGAACTCCTGATGCCTTGTGACTTCCCACTGTTCCTCAGGGCCATGGGCCTCCTGGGCACCTCCTGCCATCGGTGAATGCTCCCAAGGCCACCCGTACTCCCTCTGCCCTACGAGACCCCCTTCTCTTCATCCTCGTTCAGGCCTGGAATGGCCACAGGTGCCTTTTCAGGGGTCAGGACTGTCTTTTTCAAGTGCACTTCTTTTTTTTTTTAACAGTTTCCCCAAAGGAATGTGTCTTGCTTATTACTGACATTTTGTATGTTTCATTCATTGGAATATTTCTTTTTTCTTAAATTTTATTTATTTTACTTATTTATTTTTGGCTGTGTTGGGTCTTCGTTGCTGCATGCGGTCTTTCTCTAGTTGTGTCGACGGGCTTCTCATTGCGGTGGCTTCTCTTGTTGTGGAGCACGGGCTCTAGGCGTGCAGGCTTAAGTAGTCGTGGTGCATGGGCTCAGTAGCTGTGGCTTGCGGGCCCTAGAGAGCAGGCTCAGTAGTTGTAGCGCCCGGGCCTAGCTGCTCTGCAGCGTGTGGGATCTTCCCGGACCAGGGCTCGAACCCGTGTCCCCTGCATTGGCAGGCGGATTCTTAACCGCTGCGCCACCAGGGAAGCCCCAAGTGCACCTCTTGTCTGGGGAGAGATCGCGTCAGCGAGGGTGGGTGTGTGGTGGGCTGAGACCTGCACAACCTCAGGCTGTTTCTCTCTAGGGAACGGGCTTTCTTCCCACGGTGGAGAGGCTTTGCAGGGTGAGGCAGAGGAGGCTGCTGACCTTCCTAGAAAAAGCAGTGGAACAGTTCCATCACAGAGATCTGGGATCATCATGCATATCACTAGGGGTACATGCTGTATCCTTGCTCTTCACAGTGGGTCAGGCACCAGCAGCATCAGCATCATCTGGGACCTTGTGAGAGATACAGAATCCCAGGCCCCACCCAGCCCTTCTGAATTAGAACCTGCTTGGAGATTCGTGTGCATGTGAAAGCTTGAGAATCACTGCGCTAACAATTATCAGTAGTGAGATGATGGAGATTTTTATTTTCTTTGTTTATTTCCCCCTGACTTGTTATTATTGTATTTTTTCACATGAATCACTCTTTTTTTTTAAATTGTGGTAAAATACACATAACATAAAGTTTGCCATCTTAACCATTTTTAAGTGTACAGTTTGGTGGTATTAAATACCTTCACATTGCTGTGCGGCATCCCCACCATCCATCCCCATGACTCTTTTCATCTCGTTAAACTGCAGACGTGTAGCTATTAAACCCTAACCCCCATTCTCTCCCCTCCCCTCCCCCTGACAGCCACCATTATACTTTCTTTCTCTATGATTTTGATTGCTCTTAGTACCTCATATAAGTGGAATCATGTGGTATTTATCTCTTTATGTCTGGTGTGTTTCACTTAGCATAAGGTCCTTAAGGCTCATGTGTGTTGTAGCATATTGCAGAGTTTCCTTCCTTCTTAAGGCTGAATCATATCTGTTGTATGTATATGCATACATATTTTGCTTATCCATTCATCTGTCGGTGTACACTTGGGTTGCTTCCACACTTTAGCTACTGAGAACAACGCTGCTGTGAACATAAGCATACAAATATCTCTTCAAGACCCTGTTTTCAATTCTTTTGTGTATATACCCAGAAATGCTGGGTTATATGATAGTTCTATCACATGAATTACTTTTATGATCAGAAAGAATAGCAAAAGCACTTCAGGGGGGAAAACCTTGTCGAGTTTCCAGCTGGCGTTGCCCAAGGGCAAGTAGAGTTGTTGGGTGCAGTACTTGGAAAAAGGAAGAAAGCAAGCCTGACTTCCCAATTCCGGTGTTAGAGAAGAGCTGAAACTAGACCTTCTGCTAAACGAAGAGCAGGGTGTTTTGATAGACACAGGTGTCAAGAGCAATGTTTGAGGGCCTAGGGTCGGTGGGGTCTCTAGCCATCCTGAATGACGCTTCAAGATGGCCTCTGGTCTGGTGGGAAGGATGCGTGAGCTATCCTTTCTCAAGACCTCTTCCAGAAAAAATAGCAGTGGCAGAGTTTGGGAAGTCAGCTGTATTACTGTGTGTCCTTGGAGAGTCTACTGCCTGGTTTGATCTCCGGGCCTGGGGTGAGGCAGGAGCCTGTGTGGTAGTCCTAACAACCCTTGAGGGGCACGATCTCCAGTCGGGGTCACCATTCCACCAATTTTTTTTAATGTGTTTTTAAAAAAAATTAATTAATTAACTAATTAATTTTTGGCTGCATTGGGTCTTCATTGCTGTGCGCAGGCTTTCTCTAGTTGCGGTGAGCGGGGGCTACTCTTCATTGCGGTGCGTTGGCTTCTCATTGCGGTGGCTTCTCTTGTTGCAGAGCACGGGCTCTAGGCTCGCAGGCTTCAGTAGTTGCAGCACGCGGGCTCAGTAGTTGCGGCTTGCAGATCTAGAGCGCAGGCTCAGTAGTTGTGGCACACGGGCTTAGTTGCTCCGCAGTGTGGGATCTTCCCGGACCAGGGCTTGAACTCGTGTCCCCTGCATGGGCAGGTGGATTCTTAACCACTGTACCACCAGGGATGTCCAACGGCTCCAACTATTAGTATTCAAATACAGAACAAAACCTAAACCCATTATCATGGTCCACAAGACCTTTGTTACTGGCCCCTGCCTGTCTGTCTTTGCTTCCCCTTTTCTTTTCTTTTTCCCCTTTTCTGCTTTTTGCTCAAGTCATAAGAGGCTTCCTTTGGGTCCTGGAAGACCAGAAGCCAAGCTGTTCTTTCCTCTCTTCCCTGGCCGTTTGCTCTGCCTGGAATGCTGGTCTTCCATATCTTTCCATGGCTGCTCCTTCTTGTTATAAAGGGCTCAGCTCAGATACTACGTGTGCAGAGAGGCCTTCCCTGACTGCCCTGGCTGACGTGGCCCTCTTGCTTCCTCCCTGTCTCATCACCCCATTTTGTTTTTCTTTCTAGTATGACTCTCTAACATCATCTTTATTAGTTTACTTAGGAGCTATTTGTTTCTTCCTAAGAGAATTTTCGCTCCATGAGAAGATGGTTCTTTTATACCATTTAACTCCTGTGTCCCCAGCACGTAGAACATTGCCTGGCACACAGTAGAAGTTAAATAATTACCGAGTGGGTCAATGCATGTAATTGCTTGTCTTCTCTGAGCTTCAGTTTCCCCATCTGCGACTCAGGGATCCTACTACTTGGCTGGTAGGGTGGTCGTGAACATTACAGGGCACAATGCATTCAGAGGACTCAGTTTTGTGCCTGGCATGCAGGAAGTGCTCACCACACGGTTACAGTTGTTAGCAACCGGGTGGCCCTGGCATGACTTACACGAATCACCGACCATCTCTAAGGTGATGCCCTGCTGGTACTCCCTGGTGAAGCCCAGGCTGAGTTGCCCAAGAGAGAAGCAGCTCAGTGGCAATTCAAGGCCTGCAGTGTGGAGCATCTGCCCTTGTACAAACTCTAAATTTGGGTCTCCTTTGAAACAGTTTTGTTCTGTGTCTGGTGCATCACAATATGTAGCTGTGTCTGTTGATGGGAGTCACTGGGTCTCTTGTGGAGCATCATATGTGGTTCTGACAGTGGTCTGCCTGGGGCTTTGAAGTGTCCTTGCCCCACACCCTCTTAAATGGGAGTTTGGTGTATGCCATGTGTATCAGTTGAGAATGCTTTTGGCTGTAAGTAACAGCCCGATCAATGTACAGTGCTTGAACAAACGGAACTGTTCGTTGTGTGAGAGGTATGAGATTTCTAGTATTGGTTCAGCAGCAAAGTGACATCGGGGCTGGTGTCTCTGTGATTCTCTTGGCCTTCGCTGCAGGCTTGTTGCCTCAAGGTAGCAAGATGCTGCTCTGGCTCCACCCGATGTGTTTATGGTTAAGGCATGAAGGATGGAAGAAGGAACGAAGCCCTTAACATCTGTTCTTTTATAAGGATGGCATAATTTCCCCAGATCCCTCCCAGTGCTCTCTGCTTACGTGTCATCAGCTAGAACTTCTTACGGGCAGCCTTACAAGAGAGGCTGAGAACAGGAGTAATTAGGTTTTTCATGGAAAAATAATGTTGGAGATGATGGTGAGGTCAGCCAACAAGCAGTGCCTGCAGTACTAGGAAACTTACATTTTAAGTTAGACTATTGGTTCTCAACTGGGGGCAATTGTGTTCCCCAGAGGACATTTGGCAGTATCTGGAGACATTTTTGTTGCCACAGCTAGGGTGTGTGTGTGTGTGTGTGTCTGTGTCTGTGTGTGCACACGCTAATGGTGTCTAGTGGGTAGAGGCCAGGGATGCTGACAGACATCTTAACAATTCACAGGGCGGCCACAGAGAATTATCTGGTCCAAATGTCAGTGACACCAAGGTCGAGAAACCCTGAGTTAGACAATTCCAGTAACATCATCCAAATTTGGGGAACACAGTTTAGCTGCTTTCCTGGGTTGCAGTAACAGGAAAGTGGTCCAACTTCATTGTAATGATTGATACCTGGTCTTGTTATTGATTTTACTAAAGAGAAGGCTGATGCTACTTGGGCACAGCCGTATACTACGTGTCAGAGAGTCTTAACAGAAAGCGAATGTCAAACAAAACTAATTAAGCCTCATTGCATTTTAGGATCACAGAACAATGACATGAAAAGACAATTTCTGCTGGAGCGACTGCTGGATGCAGTGAAACAGGTAAGAAGAAAGCTCATGTTTGACTTTGTGGTCAGGTCATAGTGTCAGATGATCAATGAAGAAGTCATTTCTGCCCTTCTGTCTACACAGACTTCCTCCGGCTTTGTACCTGGGAGCGGTGAGGCTAATCATTTTCCCCAGCAAATGATAGTGATCAGTGGTAGGGACAAAGGAGCTCCTGTGTCCTGACTTCCTGGAGACCCCTGGAGGACCCGGCCGCATCCTTCACAGATGTTCCCTTGAGAAGGGCATTGAGTGGGTTTCAAAGCCTCATCTCCAAGCAGTTGTGTTTTAGGGCAACTCCTAAGGGTGCTGCAGTCGTGGTTGGAGTTAGGACCCCGTGAGCACAGGAACAGAAGTGAGGCCGTGCTCAGGACTGTGTGGATCCCGCGGGTGGGCTCTGCTTGGATCGGCTGACGCTGTTTTCGATGCCTGGCTCTTGGCTGGGCGTGGAAGCGAGCTTTGACATGAGGCTGGTGTCACTTTGCTTGCTTGCAGCTACCAGACAGGCATCATTTCTTGCACATTCATCGCGTGCGTGATTCTCTGCTAAGTGCTTTACATCTAATCCTTCCAGCCACCCCGTGAGATAGTTCTTGCAAATATTGCCATTTTACAGATGAAGAAACTGAAAAACTGAAGCTCAGGTCTGATAACATGCTGCCGACGTCATAGTTAATAAGCAGCAGAGCTAGGATCCAGCCCTAGGAATTCACATTTTGGAAGGGGCGACTGGCGATTATCTGCGTGTAATCACGATATAGGGAGATAAATATGTACTTTAATGGAAGTGTCTGTTAAGTGTCGATGTGAGTCCAGAGAATTTAGCATCTGCCCAAGCCTCGAGGCGTCCAGGTATGGTGGGAAGGACACAGATTCAGGTGTAGCTGAGGTTGAAGGCCAGCTTCATCTCTTCACAGCTGTGTGTGCTGGGGCAACTCATCCAGCCTCTCTGAGCACCCTTCTCTTTAATTGGGTTACCGATCTCTATAGGGCTGTTGATGGAATTGCATTTGTTAAAGTGGGTGAAGGGCCATGGCCAGCGCCTGTTCCACAATAAATGCACAACCCACATTATTAGTTTCTTCTTTCTTTGCTCCAGAAATGGAAAGTAAAATAAGAAGATGAAGAGTTAAGTCAAGCCACGTCAAATGTAGCAGTTAAACAGAAATAACTTGGATCTTCTGCCTAGAGCTGCTATTATTATTTTGGGGGTGAAAGTGTTGTATATATGCCTTTTAAAAATCAACTTTATTGTGGTGTAATTTGCATACAATAAAATATACCGATTTTAAGTGTGCAGTTCCATGAGTTTTGACAAAAGTATCATTTACATGTCTATACACACACACACACACACACACACACACACACACGATAATAAGGAATCTTGCAAACGTGCTACCCACAGTGGAGATTCTACACTTTTGAAAGAGTAGTGGAGAGGGGTGATGGTTGCACAATGTTGAGAAGTGAATTGAATTGCATAACTAAAAATGGTTAAAACGGTAAATTTTATGTTGTCTATATTTCAGCACAGTTAAAAAAAAAAAAAGAACAGTTTGCTTTTGTTTCCACCCTCCCTGGGTGAATTGTGGTTCAGCACAACCAGATGACTTGTTTGAAGCTTGATTTATGCTGTCATAACTTTATAGCCAGCCATAACAACTTTGGGCCCTGTCAGAAGGGACCCATCATCACAGATTTGTGGAAGTTTTGATTACTGCCTCTTAAGGGCTCTGTGTTATTGACAGTCAGCTGCTGACAGATAGAAGAAACTTCCTAGATAATCTGCAGGAAGCCGTGTGCTTCTGTTTTCCTCTCAGCGTTGTCTTTGCACAAGGCTCACTTCTCTACAAGCTGGAGATAAGGGCTTCCTTCAAGTGGTGGCTGGAAGGCTGGGGTGCCCGCCGTCTTAGGTCTTGGGCTGACACCCAGGGTGTGGGGACACCCTGACTTGGCACCCAGAGTTCCTGGCCTTGTGTCCCCCGTGACCCTGAAGGCCTGTGGGGGAGGTTTTGTATGTCCCATCCCAACAGCTGATCTCAGCAGCTTCTTTTTCCGTGCAGTGCCAGATCCGCTTTGGAGGGAGAAAGGAGATCGCCTCAGATTCCGACAGCAGGTAAATATGCAGCTTCTGAAACCCTTTACCATCAAAGACCAAAAAGGTGGCCAGAGATTGACCAGCTTCTATATTCTGCCGCTGCAGCCAGGTGGGGCAGTGATTGCGTTTGGGGGATCTGTAGATCATCTCTGCAGTGACTACTTGTCTAAAGTATTTCCAGCTTCCTGTTATCCTCCTTCTAGGAACCTACTCTGAGTGAATTCCTTGAAATGACTTTCCGCATGAAGTTATTTTCACGGTAATTTAATAATGATGAAAACTCAGAAATCTGAATGCTCAACAATTGGGAAATGGTGAATAAACTACAGTGCATCGGTAGAATGGAGTGTTATATAGCCATTACGTTGATGTCCATACAGAATTTGTTTTAAGCAGAAAAATGCAAATGTAGTGATTTAAAAATAATGTATTTAGTAAAAATAAAAAGAGCAGGATACAGAGTTAATATGGATTCAGAGTGATCCTTGCTATGTTAAACAACAACTCTGGCAAAAAACATACCAAAATGTGAATAGAGGTCATGTTGAGGTTAAGACTTGGGAATCTTTATACTTTCTGATATTTTTTTCATATTTTATACTGGGATCGTGTGTCCGTTCTATAATTAAAAAAAAAAGTCCTAAAAATGGCCATTGACCTTCATGACCCTTCATGACCTGACATGACTGCATAAGCTTATCACACCGCCTAGGAGGAGAAGCAAATGTTTTGGCAAAGGTAAGAGACACAGGCATTTGCTGGAAATGCCCAGTGAAGTCGTTCAGGGCTAATTCATGCTCTGCAGCCTTGGAGGGGCAGGAGGAACATTCCTGCAAAAGAAGGGGAGGGAAGGGAACTCACTTGCTCAGCATTCACCTCATCCTGGAGACTGCAGGTGTTCCCCACCCTCTGACCCTGACCCACCCAGCCCAGCCAATTCCCTTCTCTGTCCTTCTAGAACCTTTCTCTTTGTGACACTTGACCAGCCATGAGCAGTGTGTGTAGTGCTACATTTTAATCGAGCTATGGGGACTATTTGAAACTGGTGCAGATTTACAGTTCTACTCCCCACCTTTACACTCTCTGCTTCTTCTTTCTCAGTTTTTCTCCATAACACCAACTAACAACTGTCCATTATGCTTTTTAATTTTGTTTCTTTCTGTCGCCCATACCATAACAGCGGGCAGGGGTGTTTGGCTGTCTTGTTCGCGGGTGTATCCCCAGTGCCTAGAAGCATCTAGAAGGTGCTCAGGGAGATTCGTTGTCTGGTTGAGTGTGTGCGTGGCTTTGTACCACACATGGTCAAGTGTTTTTTAATTTTTAAATATTTATTTATTTGGCTGCCTCGGGTCTTAGTTGCAGCATGTGGGATCTTCGTTGCAGTATGTGGGAGCTTTCATTGTGGTGCGTGAGCTCTTTGTTGTGGTGTGTGGGCTCCAGGGTGCATGGGTTCAGTAGTTGTGGCACACAGGCTACCTAGTTGTGGCACACAGGCTCTAGGGTGCGCGGGCTCAGTAATTGCAGCACGTGGGCTTAGTTGCCCCGTGGCATGTGGGACCTTATTTACCTGACCAGGGATTGAACCTGAGTCCCCTGCATTGGAAGGCAGATTCTTAACCACTGCACCACCAGGGAAGCCCTGTGGCATGTAGGATCTTATTTCCCCGACCAGGGATCGAACCCGAGTCCCCTGCATTGGAAGGCAGATTCTTAACTACCGCACCACCAGGGAAGTCCCTGGTCAAGTGTTTAAAGAGGTTGTGAGCTTGGAGGGCAGAGGGGCAGCTTCTCTAGTTTTTTCTTTCTCAGTGTTTTGCACAGACATTCTGTGCCCATCACACATTAGGTTCTCTGTATGTTTGTGGCATTAGATCATTAAACTGAATTTTTGCTTCAGTTCTTCCTGAGAGCCTACTATGGGGCCTGGCCTCCGTCAGCACAGGGGTTCTCATTTTGGAACCCAAGGTCCACCTGCATGAGAATGAGAGGCTTATTAATTAATCATGCAATTCTGTAGCCCATCCTAGATCTCCTGAACCAGGAGGTGTGTATATGCGAGTGTGTGCATGCATGTGTGTGTGTATGGGTGTGTGCGTGTGTGGGTGTATGTAGTCAGGAGTTCTTTATCACTTTTCTTCATAATTATTCTTTTCATTTCCTGAGAGAGAGAACCCATTTCTGAATGTTAGGTTAACATGTTGTTATATAATATAGCTTACTATTACAACTTTTATTATGTAAACTGTTGTGTTTTATAGTAGAATTAACAAAGTTAATTCCTTCCATGGTAACTGGCTAAAAGGAATATCCTGCTTAATAATGATAATGATAATTACTGTCTCTTACTGTTCCAGCTGCCCTTTGTTCGTGTCGGCTCTTAGTCTCAGTGCAGCCTCAGGAGAAGCAACGGTGTAATTCTTTACAGATAAGAAAACAGAGGCTCAGAGAGGGCAAGTCAGACAGCCTAGGTGAATCATCTCGGGAATGTTAGAGTTGGAGGTTGGACCCTAGTTTCTTGGACTCCAAAGTCTATTCTTCCAATGTTATATCACCTTTAGCGATTATATCGGTTTTAAAGCTGGGTTTAAAATTTTTTTTTGTTTTCTCCCGCCTAGAGGGCTCCTTCTCAATATCAGAGTCTTGGTCTCATCTTGCAATGTGTTTGGCTAAAGGCGGCACCACCTTCACATAGGAAAGGTCACATCATCCTTATTCTGTGAGAAAGTCTAACCTCAAGAGGGAAAGTCAGTGAATATTTTAAAACAACTGTTGTGAAGTCTGAAAAGAAAGATAAGTCACCTCTCTCCTCACCCCTGACAAACGGCCTGGCACCAGAATGGATCTCAAATCCATTCGCTTCTCTCCAGCTCTCCAGCCATTGCCCTGTCCCAGTCACCACATGGCTCACAGGACAGTTGCCGTAGACCCACCACCATCTTCCTTCTTGTCCTGCCTCCTGTGCATTGAGAGGGTTCTGCAGAACGCAGATTCCCACCTGTCACTCCCCCATGGTAAACCTTCCACTGGCTTCTCTTTGCTTTGGGAAAAAGACCCACATCCTTAGCAGCCTGGAGGGCCCCATACCTCTCCCCTGGCTCTTTGCTCCTGCCACCCTGCCCTGGCCTTTCTGTTTTTTTTGGTTTTTGTTCTTAAAGCCTTTCAGTAATTTTTCAGGGAAACCTTCCAGACCCCTGATATGAATCCTCCACATTCCTCTCCAGCCCTGGCCATCTGGACCTGTTTTCCTTGCTCTGTACCATGGACTGGCAAACTCCTTCTGTTAAGGCCTGGATTTGGCCTCAGGCTGTATTTTGCTGACCCCTGCTCTGTACTGTTAGATTCTATAAACCTCTGTTTCTCATTACTACACGTCTGTGTGATGAATCAACTGGATGACCAGCTGGAGAGAAGCCTGTTTTGCTCACACTACGTCCACAGCGCCTGACACATAGTAAGTGCTTAGTAAGTACTTATTGGATTACTCATTTGTTTAACAGTTAGTCACTGAACGCCTACTTGGTGTCACAGACACTGGGGCTTTCCAAATATTTCAGACAGATTTCTACCCCTCAGGTGGCTTCGTGTCCACCTGGGAAGATAGTCCAGTGAGGCAGTGATCACAGCATGCGATGCCCAGGGTCATATCCAGGGGGCTGTCACATGCCCTGGGCAGGCTGGTGTGAAGGTTCATGGGCTATCAAGGCCTGAATCTGGCGCTTCCCCTTTCCAGCTGCATCACTAACTTTTCTAAGCCCAAGAATTAGGTCTACTGTGATACTGTGACTTATAATAAGAAATACACATGATTGTTCTTTGCCCCATTCCTGGTACTGACCTCCTAAAACCCCTGGAATTTCCGAAGTGGTGATAGCCAGAAAGGTGTCTTTTGTTATGTTAATGTAGTGATTTCTGGAAATCACCCGAAATTGGAGGCTGGTTGCCAGGAGAACCAACCACGTGATTAGAGGGTTGGAACTTTCAGTCCCATCTCACCACCACTAGGGAGGGGAGAGGGGCTGGAGATGGAGTTCAGTTGCTGATGGTCAATGATTTAATCAAGCCTGTATAATGAAGCCTCCATAAAAACCCAGGAGGATGGGGTTCAGAGAGCATCTGGGTCGGTGAATACTTGGAAGTGGGAGGAGAGTGGTGTGCTGGGAGAGGGCCTGGAAGCTCTGTGCTCTTTTCCCATACCTTTCTTCCATCTGGCTGTTCCTGAGTTATATTTTTTCTTTCTTTTTTTTTTTTTTTAACATCTTTATTGCAGTATAATTCCTTTACAATGGTGTGTTAGTTTCTGCTTTATAACAAAGTGAATCAGCTATATATATACATATGTTCCCATATCTCCTCCCTCTTGCGTCTCCCTCCCACCCTCCCTATCCCACAACTCTAGGTGATCACAAAGAACAGAGCTGATCTCCCTGTGCTATGCAGCTGCTTCCCACTAGGTATTTGTTTTACATTTGGTAGTGTATATAAGTCCATGCCACTCTCTCACTTCATCCCAGCTTAACCTTCCCCCTCCCCGTGTCCTCAAGTCCATTCTCTATGTCTGCGTCTTTATTCCTGTCCGGCCCCTAGGTTCTTCAGAACCCTTTTTTTTTTTAGATTCCATATATATGTGTTAGCATACTGTATTTGTTTTTCTCTTTCTGATTTACTTCATGCTGTGTGACAGCCTCTAGGTCCATCTGCCTCACTACAAATAACTCAATTTCATTTCTTTTTGTGGCTGAGTAATATTCCATTGCATTTATGTGCCACATCTTCTTTATCCATTAATCTGTCGATGGACACTTAGGTTGCTTCCATGTCCTGGCTATTGTAAATAGAGCTGCAATGAACATGGTGGCACATGACTCTTTTTGAATTATGGTTTTCTCAGGGTATATGCCCAGTAGTGGGATTGCTGGGTCGTATGGTAGTTCTATGTTTAGTTTTTTAAGGAGCCTCCATACTGTTCTCCATAGTGGCTGTATCAATTTACATTCCCACCAACAGTGCAAGAGGGTTCC